TACATTTTGGCAATATTGTATTGCGCGTGGTATATCATTTAAAAGGCTAACATATATCGATATGGCTTGCTGATGACGACCAAGTCGTCCAAGTATAATTGCACGTTCTTCAAATAAACTGTCAAATGGAAAATGCACTAATATTGTTTCCGGTGTATAATGCGTCGATTTCTCTAGAAATTGTTGTAATTTCTGTCGAATGTGTTGCGAAGTTTCTTTCTCCGCTGGCGTTGCATTTGCATTCATAGAAGCTAAACACTTTTCTTTGTACTGATGTATCAAAACATTATGGAATAACGGATTGGTGTCTTCCCAAACATGTACTACATGTTCCAAGTATTGTATCACTAAATCTTTATGAAAACGTAGAAGGTAATCCAATATCTTTGGTCTAGGTAAATGTTCAACTTCCTACAAATGCAACAAAAAATGCATAAATAAGGAAAATTAAATGTGGAACACAAAAAAATACCTGTATATCTTCCATAAATATTCTAAGGCCTTGTTCAGGATCCTCCGTTAAAACCCATCCAGCAAACTTTAGTATTAGATCCATATGATCCTTGCCGAGATGTTGCAAATACTGTATAGTTCTCTCAGTACCTTTCAGACTAGAATCGTTTTCCTTTGCGTGTTTCTCCAGTAGCTCCAACGCTTTCTTGTGTTGTCCTTTGGTTTGATACAATATAATAAGTTCCGGATATTTCTGATGCATCAATAAAGTTTTCTCAGCTTCTGCCAAATGACAGTGATTCAATCTAAGTAAAGGAGCTACCAAGGCGTCAGTAGTCTAAAACAAATTCCGTTCAATGTTTATTCCGTGTACAGCAAGGAAACTTCTTCCACGTATAGATTTTTATTATCCTTCTTCTCTTTTACCTGCAAATAACATTTTAAAAGGGTCGTATCTATAATCTTTAGAAGCTGCTCCGTAGCTACAGCGGTTAAATTCTTTTCTCCATTTACTCCATTTTTTTCCTTACTAAGTTCTTTGTCCTTCGCCATTAGCTTATGCCTAACTTCAGTTAAAAAAACTATCAATGCACGTAAGCCCTTTTCTAAATCATGATCTTGCAATTTTGGCAAACTGGGTGCTGGTTCATTGAGTTCATGAGTATTGGTCGAAGGTGTAACTAAATCTGGAAACAATCTTATCACCTCATATGGATCAGTTCCCAGTTTCAAGAATAGATCCATTGCCTCTTGGAACCGTTTATTGTAGAACAGATGATGTGCATACAATGTTTGTATTTTATATGTCTGTTTGACTTTGTCCTCATCTGTTATGTCTGATAAATTCTAAAATACATATCAATAATATTGCATATATAAAAAATGAATTATAATTTACATTAACATCAGATATAAGTAACGTACAGTTAATTTTAATGCCAGCTGAAACTGATTTTGCTCCAGCAAAGTCCTAATTTGTAAAGTAACATCAATTGCATTGATACACCAAATTTGACTAATGGATGCCACAAAGACTCTCCCTTGCTTGCATCGATATATAAGTCTAGCTTTATTTAAATCCTTTATTGTCTGAATATGTAGACATCCTTCTAATGTATACACTTCCAATCTATCGTGCACGATACCAAGCAAGTAAGGATCATCCCATGCTAAAATGTTACAAAAAAATTTGATTAATTATAATTAAAGAGAGAAATAATAACGGTAGTCTATTCTCTATACCTATTGCATTAGGCGCATCTGACCATTTTACTGGATTGTGTTGAACCAATTCTCCTTTTGTATCCATGATAAATGATTGAGAATCTTTGCCCAGGACAAAAGAACTATCTGATAGTTTCGTAATACTTGGTTCTGGAGATTTACCGGTGGGAAAGAGCTCCTTAGGTTTATCATTTAGGTCGAAAATCGTATAGGACAATCCACGAAATCCTAATATTAATGTTTCGCCGCACCTCAATAATTAATACAAATTTATCAAAATAGAGGTATATGCTGTAGCATTTCAATAATTGTTCAGCATGTGTTACCATGACAATTGACGAGGTATATCTGGCACTGTTAACTCAAAATTGTTAAATTCTTCAAATTTCTTTCCCTTCCAATAATACAGCTGTAATTTACGTTTAACAGCGACACATAAACGAACCACAGTGTTCTTTTCTCCTGTTAGGCTTTCGGTTGACTGAATCTCCAGAGTAAACAAAGTGGCGCCGCGAGTCTTTGGTAATTGACATATTTGTTGAAAGTTTGGTGAATTTAAATCATGAATGCATACAATGTTATCTAAAATTTTCCTCAATTAGACTGAGAGACAGAGATAATAATTATCAATTAACTCATGACATCAAGTATACCTGTTAGAATGATCAATAAATTATATTCCGGCACAACATCTATCTGATTGATGCGTTTTTTGTTAAAATTTTTGCTGTGACGTAACAATTCTAGTTTGTGACTGTCGTCAAATACCACTGGAACATTGTACATAAGAAGATGACCTTCCCTGGTGCCTATTAGTAGGTTGTCATCTAAAACAATTAAAAAAATTCAATAAATGCTCTCTCTATTCACAGGAATTCTTCTAATAATCGCACATGATCAACCAAGATTCATCTCGTACCATAAGCAGCCATAGACTCAATTTGCACAGTGATATTTAATATAGACGTTTCTTCGTAAGCGTCGTGCATCGTTGCGGTTTTAAAAAAGAATATCACACTTTATCAAATGAATTTTTCTACTATTGACGATACTCAAGTTGTTGGTCGACAACGCATCAGAATTCATTCTATTGCATTCTCCCACATTCTAAACGATTTTTGACTGGCGTTTGACAACCATCGCACAACAATCACAGAATCGTAGCTGAGAACAGACCTTTAATAGTTTTGAGGATTCAGCTTAACATCACTCGTCCAATCAGTGTCCCATGGTCTTGCGTGACTTTTGAACGTCACATTCTCATGTACAATAGTTTCTATTATTTTCCTCTTTTTTTTATTATTCCGGTTATCTCCTCACAAAAGAGTTGCGTTTCATAATTCACTGTAAATCTTTTTTGATTCACTTTAAAGTTTTTTTTATACCATAATGCATATTTACATCATAGGCTATTCGCGTTGCTTGCACTTTTTACACTCAGCATCTTGCGTAAAAATGATAAGGCGTGTTGCTGTGGTACGTAACAAAAATTATAAAATGTAATAGTAAAAAATCTTTGTACTTCTATCGTCGATTATCTTTTCCAGATTGACATATAGTTTTTTCTTTTTATATAGCTGCAATTTATTATATTAGGTGTTGGAATTAATTCGTAGCGTTTTACAAAAAAAAACGCTACGAATTAATTCCAACACCTAATACCTTAACAATTACTAAAGTATAATATATTAAAGAAATATATTAAAGAACATAATTACATAACAAATCTAATTAAATGGAGAAAGAAAAAGATAAGATACACGAAAAGTTTAACTATTACAAATAGCAGTTGTAATTTTTATTATTTGTAGTTGAATTGTCTGTATTTTTTAGTCTTTCTCTTTTTCCTATCTTATATCTATACAGTGCTAGGATTTACTTGCACATTTCGGCCGATTTTCAACCTTGTCTGATTCCTGCTCTTTACTTCACCAATTCGCACGCAGCCTAAATGTCGATCGGTGCACGAGTTGGTGGCGGCGGTGAGTGAAGTAAGAAAATCAAGTTAATCGATCGAAAAGTAAATGTAAATGAAATGCGAGTAAATCCCAGCATTGTCTATATGTATAACTTTAAACATATTAAAATATAGCCCGGAAAAAATGTTATATACATGTGAACATATTTTATATATAATTATATATTATATAATTGAATATATATTTATAAAATATGTCAATGTTTTATATAATTATATATAAAATATTTTGTCCCGGGAGGGAGAGAGTTTAACATAATTTTTATTCTTTGGACTTCATACTCTATTTTTCTTTTTTTTTTTTTTTTCAGTGACTAATTATAAAAAGAAAATAATTATAAAATCATTTTTAATATTATACATGATTAGGCTTTTTCTGTATAATCTTTACAATTTTTTAATTTATTTAACAAATATATTATTTAACAAATGTAACACAAAAACTATGGAATACTGATAACCCATAGCATGTGATGGTCAAGTCTCTTGAAATTGATCTGGCACAGAATGTGTTTATTTTAATATATAAGTATAAGAATATGTAAAGCATAGGTTTAGAAATCTTAATAAATAATATCTTAATAATAATATTAATCAGGTAACTGGTGGAAACAAGGGTATCGGCTTTGCCATTGTCAAAGCTCTGTGCCAACAATACGATGGAAATGTTTATTTGACGGCTCGCGATATCACCCGCGGCTTGAATGCCGTCAGTGAATTGAAAAAACAAGGTTTGGATCCGAAATTCTATCAATTGGATATCAATGATGACAATAGTGTTAATACATTCCGGGATTATTTACAAAATACGTATGGTGGCCTCGATGTGCTGGTTAACAATGCTGCCATAATGTTTCAAGTAATTAAAGATATATTGCTATAGTAATTAATTAATAATTAAAGACATTATTGATATAGTAAACGCAGTTTACGACAAATATGCATTTCTAATTATTTATTTTCAAAAATGCGATTATTTCTAAAAAGAATAACTTGATTTTAAAAAGAGAAAAAATATTATATATTGCTACCCTATTCATATTTAAATATAAACTGAATAATAATTGAATGATTTTGTAAAAATAAAATATCGAGAAGATATATTGAAATTTATTTATTATAGAGCGATGCTACGGAGCCTTTTGGGTTTCAAGCGGAAGAAACTATACGAGTAAACTACTTCAGCTTGCGTAGAATGTGTACTGCTTTCTATCCATTACTCAGACCACATGCCCGGGTAGTTCATGTCTCGAGCAGTTTTGGATGTCTATCATAAATTACTGGTGATAACTTAAAAAAGAAATTAACCAATTCAAATTTGACTGAAACAGAATTGGATAAAATCATGCACGAATTTGTCGAGTAAGATTCAACATTTTTTAAAAAAACAATTGCATTGATTATATGTTAAAAAATTAAATAAAAACGTTTGGAAAAATTTTTCGAGATTTATATTCTTATATGTGGATTTATTTCCAGTGCTGCAAAATCTGGTACGCATTTACAAGTCGGGTGGTCAGATTCAGCATATACGGCAAGTAAAATAAGCGTTAGCGCCTTAGCTGGTATTCATCAATCCATGTTCAATGCAGATCCCCGAGAAGACATTACGGTGAATGCTGTACATCCTGGTTATGTAGATACTGATGCTACTTTGCATAAAGGAATTTTGACACCAGATCAAGGGGCTGTAGCTCCTGTTTACTGCGCATTGTTGCCGAAAAATACAGAGATAAAAGGAAAATTTATCTGGTACGATAAGACATTAGCAGATTGGAAGTAAGCATATGTAACAGATAGGTAAACTGGTTTGCACCGCACCTACAATGCATAATATGTTCAAATATATAAATGAACAAATACGTGAATGTTAAATAAACTATCTATAATATAAATTTAATAAAAAATCGTAAATAATAAGCGAATCGGCCAATCACAATAGAGAAGATAAAGTAAGTCGTTTCGCTCACAGTAAGTATATCTTACTGCCTTATGTTTTTTTTATGTGTTTCTAGCTTAGGGATAACAAAGAACTTACAAAAAATAGAGACTATTTTGCTACAAATGTCTTTTATATTAAAACTAAATAAAAATATATATTGAAGAATGTTACATTATTACTCACGTTTTCAAAAAAAAATTTGTGAATAATGCAAAACGATTCCATATATTATTTCTATACTAAATACAAAATATTATATGTAGTAATTAAAGAGAAGAAATGGATTCTTAATGTAAGCAATATATTTAGTGAAATTATGAGCTATCTTGCTTGAGCATTCATTGCTTCCCTCCGTGCCGCTTCAGTTAAAAGATGGATGTCTACCTCATCCACTGGAAGTTGTACATATCGCACCACAGATCCACGGATAAAGCAATTTTTTACAGATAACTGCAATTTAATATACAATTCGTTAATTTTATTTAATTGAACATTAATTTTAATGACTGCATTGCATGTCTATTATTGATGATTCAATTTGCATAATCCCTCCATTCATATGAAAAAAAAAGATTTTAATCAAATTGATAAACTGTTATTATATTTTGTAGCTTATGAGATGTTGATAAAAAATTTCCACAGGTACAGTCTTTCGTGTTTAAAAAAATGGACTAATTCATTGTAGTACCATTTGAAAAGTTGCTATTTTAAGTCTAAGTGTGTTAATAAAATAAAAGTATTTACCTTTATTTACAGTTTGTTTTTTAACTTATAAGCAATTAAAAACACTTATATAGCCACATGTGTGTCCATTTTTGAAATTCATATCTCAGTGTCTATGCAAGAAAAAGGATAGTATGCTTCTAAATATTAGGTGTAGTAAAAAGAAATCCATTATTTTTCCAATAGATGGCTTTAGTCTGTATCACGCGTAGACAAGATACAGATTAGTAAAGCCATCTATTGGAAAAATAATAGATTTCTTTTTACTACATCTAATATGTATATTGGTATGTATTTGCATCGGTAGTATTATATTAGTATACCTGACATTTTTATGTATGATTATATATAAATGTCTACACAGTTGAAAAAACAAACTATATTGTAAACACAAACTATAAATACTTTTCAATTTGTTTAGATTTAAAGTAGCAACTTTCAGAAATGTGTCCATTTTTTAAATACGGTTGTGCTTTATGAAGACTCTTTTAATCAGATCTCTCATAAGCTATAAAAGATGCCTTCCATTATTCATTGTCAATATTGAATATCTATAGTATACTTATATAACAAGAAATATAGATTTTCAATGCTTAGAATGAATAACCAAAATATCACAGTTTCAGCTAATTTAATTAAAATCCTTTTCTAAAAATAGTTAATGCAAAACCTCTTATATGATAATATCAATGGTAATTAACGTACCATGTGAGGATACTTCTCTGAATCTGTTACGCTAATGTCAGCCAATTTTATGTTCAGATACTGATCAACAGAATATAATGTGCCGCAGATACTAAAACAAAATATCACATTGCATAATGTGTGTGATGGCCAGTCACACTACACTGAATTAGTACACATTAAAGGCTGTTTTAAATAAAGTATCTAAATGCAGTGACATAATAAACTCGACTTTGACAATAAAATTACAAGTATATTCTGTTAAATAATGTAATATTATCTAATCATTTAAAAAATTTATATACTTTTACACTTAACTTTATTAATTTCATGTATAGTAGCTTTTAATATGTACTAATCTAATATAAAGAATTCGATCACAATCAGTGTTGCTCAAAAAACAACCATGTGATGACGTTTCACCTGAGGTCATTTTTCAATTCGACCACTACGTCCTTTCCGATCAAGGATTTGAAGAAGGAATAAAACAACTGAAATTAAAAATACGCTCAGTTGAACTTGATACACGTCCAGGTGTTATTCGCATGAAAAGCCGGATTCTACACTTCTCTTTATTGTGAAAATTTTTACGTTAAGACTTACCATGATAATTTGCAAAAGATCACTGTGATTATATATTCAGTATCGCATACGCTAGTAGTAAATTATAAGTATTTATAATGAAAAATGCGTTCCAAACAAATCTCGGCGGTAAAATTATAACCTATGTCTATGATCACGAAGCATCAATATGAGCAATGCATGAAATAGAATATACATAGAATGGAAACTTTTAGGACAATTCGCATAAATATTTAATCTTATTTGTAACTGCACGACGTGTATCTTTTGCACTTAAAATAATATTGAAGAAAAAGAGAAAAAATTGAAAATACAAAAAGTTCAGTCATAGAAAAAACAAAGCTTGAAGTAAATTGTAACATACAATATATTCAGCCTTGTTCATACTAGAGTTCCTCTAGTAAGAGTTAAGCCGAATGATGATTTTTTATTTTAGTTCATCCATATTCAGGGAATGAAAGCGATATCCTTAATTTTTATTTTAAGATTAAGTAAGACAGAGAAAATAGCTTGTTTTCTCACTCTCTCATACTTATATTCCTATGAATGGCGGACGCGCGCGAGACAGGTGTCGTAACTTTTACCAGAGGAACTCTAATTCATACAGATTTAGGCCGACGTCCTATAAGCGAAAATTTACAGCGGAACGGAACAGTGCGACCAATCACAATTCTGCAGTCATTATTCAGCTTTCTGAGATTGTGATTGGTCTCGCTGTTTCGTTCCGCTGTAAATTTCCGCTCATGAGGCTTCACATATGATTTTGTATATACTGTAATTTTATGTAACGGAAAAAATCAATCATTCATGCAACAAAAGCTTAGCATTCTTAGCAATATGACTTTAATCTTGACACATAATTTTGTCAAATAGGTTCCATACAAGAATTACGCAGGTTGTTTAAATAAAGCTTAAATGTCAACGCATTCATGAAGAAAAATAAAGTTTATATTAACGTTGTTACATGTTAAAATATTTGTAGATCTACAAATAGATCTATAAGTAGATATTAAATAAAGCAAACGCTATTTTTTGAGATAAATACCTAATATGATCTCTTAATGTGTAATAATATACAACATTATATCATCGTGTGCTGTAATCGATACCTTTACCAATTGGTGCTTCTGCTATAACTGGTAGGACTTTGGACTTGATCGTCACTGATTAGGGAGCGCTATTTTTTGCAGTTGAATATTGAAGACGAGAGAAAAGAATCTGAAGAAGCAACGATGTTTTCTACCTGCGTCAAGATATTACGGACTACTAGCAAAGTGAGATTCTTCTCGAATTTGTCTTGATTTTCGTTTTTCGTTTGTTACGTTGATTCTATTCATATGATTCATATATATAAGTACATTGCGTTCCATCGACTTTGACTTTAAAATTCGTTGTTACAAACGTTTCTTATTTTTATGAAAAGCATGTAAGATAGAGATAAGTCACTGTTTATAATTGTAAATTACTCCAAATAACTGTATCTTATGATAAATATAGTCACTTGCGTTCAGTGAATTAGTATACATTAAAAGTTGCTTTATATAAAGTATCTAAGTAAATTGTGACATAATGTGCTCAACTTTGACAATGAAATAATACGTGTATATTTTTTCTAAATAACGTGACAATATTATTATTGGTATTTAATCATTTAAAATATTTATACATTTGCTTTTTGCTAATTTTGTGTGCAGTTTCCGATAAGCACTAATTTAGTGCAATGCAAGTGTCTGAATTTGTTATTAAACATAGATTTATAGTTGTTTTCTAATTGTTTTTGAAATTTAATTTAAATGTCTCATAAATGTCACTTATTTTCAGTTTGCCTCATTGGCGCGTTACGAATCTACTTTGGTCATTGCAGAGCATAACAATGAAAATTTATTGCCACTCACCTGCAACACATTGACAGCTGCTAAGAAGATCGGCGGCGATATCACTGTACTGGTGGCTGGTACGAAATGCCAAGCAGTTGCACAGAATGCATGCAAAGCCAAAGGCATATCTAAGGTCTTCCTCGCAGACAGCGATGCGTTTAAGGGATTTACTGCAGAATCGTTGACGCCACTTATACTTAAGCTGTGCAACGAACACAAATTTACACATATATTAGCTGGTGCAAGTGCATTTGGCAAGGCATTGCTTCCCCGAGTTAGTTTACAATTTATTCTCTTCTAAGAAATTATACTAACTGTGTCAATTTTATGTTAATTCATATAAATCTGTTTAATTGAAGGTTGCAGCCAAGTTAGATGTATCACCAATAAGTGATATTATCAACATAAAAGCTTCGGATACCTTTGTACGTACTATATACGCTGGTAATGCCATTGAAACTCTTAAATCTAAGGATAATGTAAAGATAATATCCGTGAGAGGTACTTCTTTCGAGTTGCTACCTTTAGAAGGTGGAGACGCTAAGTGTGAAACTGTTCCTACTGACGATTATACTTCAAATCAAGTGCAATACATCAAACAAGAGCTCAGCAAATCCGACAGACCAGAATTAACATCTGCCAAAGTTGTGATTTCTGGCGGACGTGGAATGAAGTCTGGAGAAAACTTTCAACTGCTGTATACATTGGCAGATAAGCTCAATGCGGCGGTTGGAGCATCCCGTGCTGCGGTTGATGCTGGTTTTGTGCCAAACGATATGCAAGTAGGGCAAACTGGAAAAATTGTTGCACCTGTAAGTAAAAAATTAGTTGCTAGAACATACTTTATTGGAATAACTCTCATTTCAATCTTGCTGGTGTTCAAATACCAATAACTTTATGATTATGATTTCAGAATCTCTACATAGCAGTTGGAATTTCGGGAGCAATTCAGCATCTTGCTGGAATGAAGGACTCCAAAACGATTGTAGCTATTAACAAGGACCCCGAAGCTCCCATTTTTCAAGTAGCAGATTATGGATTGGTCGCAGACTTATTTAAGGCTGTTCCCGAATTAACGGAGAAGTTATAAATTGCAAATAGGGCTCATATAAATTTTATATTTCAAATGATTATTTTTGTACATTTTATTATATTATATTGTAATACAGGAATTTTAGAATAAAATTTTTATGATGGTTTTTAACAAAAATCAATTTATAATTTTAATGGTTACAATCTGTTTGTCATCACATAATGTCAATAAAAGTAAGTTAAGTAAAGTGTATTTTTTAATAATAAAAACTACAAAAATTAATAAGATAAAGGGAGAAATATCCGATGTACTAATATTACATTTTATATATATATATATATATAATTACATATTTATGTATGATATATTAGTAATTACTTTCTTCTTATACAACAAATAAAATGGAAAATAACTTGAACAGAATGTCTAACGTTAGATGCTGATAACACATCCATTAATTAAGATAGACTGACTTAAGATATATTGACTTTCGACCATTTTGGTAACTATAAAAAGTGCTTTTTTTCATATCTACTATTTCT